CACCCTTGTGGAAATCAGATTCCAGGGTTACCTTATGGAGAGGTACTGCTCGAGTATCACTAGTGACACCCTTGACCAGTACCACCTCTCCAGTGTTGTGAGTGTTGGCACCTTGCAACACACTCTCCAAAATTTAAGTCTGGATGGCACCGGTGTCTATTATGATCACCACGTCCTTCCAGGAAGAACCCTCAGAAAACAAAATCCTCCCCTTCGACAAGAATGAAGTAAGCAGGTCCAGCCACTGTGGGTTACAGGACTTACTCCCTTACTCTTCAGAAGTCCCCAAGCCTTGTGTCACAACAGGAGAATTGGATCTTTTTTTCTGGGTACAGTTGCCAACGATGGTAGGGGCCTGGTAGCCTGGTGGATACCGTGCAGGACTCGTAATTCTGTGTCGCTGGTTCGATTCCCGCACCAGGCAGAAACAAATGGGCAAAGTTTCTTTCACCCTGAATGACCCTGTTACCTAACAGTAAGTAGGTACCTGGGAGTTAGACAGCTGTCACGGGCTGCTTCCTGGGGTGTGTGTGTGTGTGTGTGTGTGGTGGGAAAAAAAGTTGTTAGTAGAGAGTTGATTGACAGTTGAGAGGCGGGCCGAAAGAGCAAAGCTTTTGGCAATGCCCTGCAAACACAATTAGGTAAATACAATGGCTAGTAATATGGTTTGAACGTTTACAATGACCACAGAATCATTGGGGAGAAGAGACATTACTAACAGAATTTCCCTTTGGTTCAGCCTTAGGTGCCGTGGAGTTAGACAATTTAACAGGGTTAGTTTTGTCTGAAAAAAAAGGTGCATTAGTTACAGGGTTAGAATGGGCTGGTCTGGACTGGCTGTGGGTATAAGGTTTGTTAATAATTGGGCTATAACTATTTTTATTGGGCCTTTTGCCGACCAACTGGTAGTTTTCTGTTATCTTGGCCAAATCCATAATATTAGTTTCTACCTCCTTCCTTTCTCGTAAAAACCGTACTACCGGCTCTGGCATATTATCTATAAACCCTCCATTAAAACTAAATTCTTGAGTGCCTCGTTTGTTTCGGCTTTGGCCGAGCGAATCCTTTTTCAAACAATTTTATTTGATCAATAGCAAATTCAGTGAGACGTTGGTTGTGAGTAGGCCGAAGGTTGCGATAAGCTTGGCGGTGAGCTTCAGGCATAATTTCATATGCCCTCAAAATCCGTTCCCTGACTTTACTTAATTAAAACAATCGCAGTCGGGCATGTTTATGAAAATATCTTGGGATTTACCTCTAAGCCGCCCCTGCAAGATTTTCACCCACTCTTCCTCTGGCCAGTTCATAGACATGGCCAGTCTCTAAAAATGGTTGAAAAACCTTTCAGGGTCTGGCTCTGAAAATTTAGGCAGGTTATACTTTTTATCATAATGCCTGAGGTTTGAATCCCAGGCAGGTGGTGGTACATTGGCGTTGCCCCTAATTCTTGCCTCCTAAGTTTTAAGCCTTTGCTCCTCCAGTCTTATATTCGCTAATTCTAGTGCTACCTCTCTGCCTCTACGAGCTGCACTTTCAGCTTGGCTGGGCTGGCATAAAGTTGTATCACATGGCAATAGTTCTTGGTCTATGCAATGTTGTAAGATTTCATTCACCAAGGTCCACTTTTTATCAGTGTCATTTAACTCAAGACCAAATTCATGGCCAAACAATACTAAGTTAGATTTGGTTTCTTCTTCGTTTCTTAATCTCTACCACTGAAGGTGTCTTTGCCAGTTCCTGCAATTTAGCCGCCATCCCTAATTAATCTAGATACTGGCCAAAAGTAAAAAATAACAATAAAAATTGAAAAAAATACAAAAAATTTGCACGGTCCTAATTATAAGTCCACACTCACCTCAATCGTGAAGAGATCCAGTTGGATGTCCAGTCAGTGCAAGATGTATCCTTTGCTAGTTGAGATGAACCCTAGGCTACCACACAACCATTCTACAGAATGCAAGAAATTTAGTTTCGGCACTCAAAAATCTAAATTTTTTACAATTTGTATATAAAAATTTCAGCTCCCGGTCAGGCCAACCACTTGTTATGGGGGGTATGTGATTGTACTTAGAAGGGCCAATGGCTAGAATCAAGATGTATCAAAAATAGTGGGATAGATAGGCTCGACCCCCAAGGAACTAAGGTTCCTAGAAATGATTCTATGTTTTAAATTACAGGTCTGCTGTCTAATCATCTACACCACTTCCACAGGATGAATTGATACTTCTCATAAACTAACTTATTTATTAAACCCTCTAATAACACCCATATATACATTAATGCAGTAAATCTCTTTACCACTCTAACTTACGTTAAACACCTTGGTCCACATAGACAGGATGCAAGGTTTACAATTGCAACTAGGGTAAAGACTACTTAGGGAGGGATACTAGTAAGGCTCTAGGTAGCCTGGTAAAACTTGAGCACACGTTGTTTCACTAAAACACCCTAGAGTAATCTTAGGGATATAAACACTAGCTTAGGCTACACAAGAATTTAACAACACAATTTGCCAGAACACATTACCACAGTATAATACTTATCTTAGATAATAAATGGAGAATAAGGTAAGGGAAAGGGAGAAGGAGGAAGAGAATGAAGTCCACGAGGGTGAGTGTGTACACCACAACAGCCAGAACTAGAGAGAGCGAGCACAGCCTCCTCCGCTCTCTTAAAAACGCTGCCGGGAAGGGAGCCTAGCTGATCGTACAGCCATAAACATTATAAGTCTTCACCGACATTCATTACTAGTTACGTTAACAGTTCTAGGAATAGCTGATAACTAGTTCAATATTATATTTAATAGTCAACAAGCCCAGATTCTGATTAATCTGTGAGTAGCAAGGTTCATCTTATGTCTGGCAAGAAAGACTGAGACAAATCTGCATCAGGTATGAGAGCTTTGAATATAAACGTTATTGTTAACTAGATATCCCTCTTACACAACTATTTGGAACTCAATTTGACCTCTGGTTTCCATATAGGAACCCAGGGTCGTAACAGATGAGATAGCCAAAGAATCTACATTTAAAGGAGAAATTAAGTATAACCTTACATTGTCAATAAGCAGTCTGAGAGCAGTAGTACACCAAGAACTTCAACAAAATCTTGTAGATCTGAGGCAAAGTGAAATCGACACCAGAAATTCCATCTATCATCATACTATCATGCAAGAGGAGCCACACATGTATGGTTCATCCAATAAAATCAGAAGACTTCTAGATGTTACTACAGCTAGGCTTAGACTCGGTTACAAGTATCTCTGGGAATTCTATTATCTGCTGATGTAGACTTGACCAAATGTAAACTGTGTCAACAAAATTATTCGCACGCCCTCCGTCACTATGTGATAGAGTGCGAAATGATACGTGAATTCAGAGACAGTTCTATAACAAATGTTCAAGAGATGTGTAAATAATTAATTGAAAATTATCTGCTGCCAGAAGTCTTGGCCAAATATCCCCAGTTTGCTAACTTTAGGTAGTATCTGAGTGATTATAACCTATCTTCCGCTGCCCATTAGATGGGCAGTGTATAGGATAAACTTATCAGTTGTGACACTAGCTCTCCATATATGTCAGTGGCTTAAATTAGAAACTGTACTTGTGGTCGGCCTCGAACCCATTGCTGATGTGACGATGTGCATTGAATTTTGTAACTAGCTCATCAAGATTGTAACTTACTCAGCTAAATGAATTGTGGGGCTCAATCCTGAGCCCATTATGTGCCTCTGTAACTCTTTCCACTGCCGCCCACAAGATGGGTATGGGGGGTGCATAATAAATGAACTAAACTAAAACCCATCAAGTGGGTAGTAGTTTACCTTATCAAAACATTTTCTATAGTACATAGTGTACGATTCATTTTTTCTGATTTTATAAAGCATATTCTATTGTATATATTATAACTTGGCGCCATTTGAAATAATTACAGATACTAATTGATATAATAATTATTATAATTTACTGAGAACTGCCAAGATTTCTCAGAACTAAACTAAGTGCCTTCAATAGGATGTAGCTGATGCCTAATATTCGAATAGTATGGAAAATGATACATAAATTTCACACCAGAAGTGGGACTGGAAAAATACAATTATGATCAAAATTTTAGCAAATAGACTTTTCTGCTGTCAACGGCGATGTGACGGATACAATGGGACGTGTACTATGGCACGTCGTACAGGGATGTGAGGATGGGTTGGTGCATGGTTATTACAAATAACCGTTTCATAGGGATACTATGAAATTTAGCAGCCATGGGCCTGATTTAATAATTCAGTTCTGAATTATGAATTCAATTATTCAAATGTAGACGAGGAGTCACAATAACGTGGCTGAAATATGTTGACCAAACGACACACTAAGAAGTGAAGGGACGACAACGTTTCGGTCCGTCCTGGACTATTCTCAAGTCGATTGTGGATTCTCATTCTTAATTATTCAAACTTTACCTGAGGGCCATTATCCTTAGTGGCCTCGACGAGGACAGGAATCCAGTGGCTTGTCGAAGGTCCCCCATTTGCCTTGATGATCTTTTCCGAGTATATTTTGAAACTCAATACGGTTACGGCTTCGGTGGGTAGGCCGTTCCATGGGTTAGTAACCCTGTCGGTGATCACTAGGAGCGTTATGTGAGAAACATACTATGGAGAACCTATAATAAACATACTATAAAAGTCGGGTTGCAGCATCAGCTGCCACATTTTTAGGTAAATGAAGGTTTTCCTTCAGATTTCTATCAAAGTTCACTCATTTATTGATAATTTCGAGAAGACATTATCCCATATTCAAGGAGCACAGTATTTCTAGTTTATGATTTTAAACGCCATAGCGTCTTATGGGAAAGTTTGATACATATTTTATGCAACAGCTACTAATATGGACTGCCAGGAGCATTAGTGGAACTTTCTCTTCTTTCGATAAACATTTAAGTTGACAATCGAAATGTTGTTATAAAGTCTAATCTATTGCCTTAGTTACGTTGTATGATGTGTACAGGTGCCCCCACCAGCGCCCCGTTGGCAATCGCTAGTATACCCCTTCAGCAGGTGGGTTTGGATGGGGATGGGCTGTACCCTACTCCTGCTCTCCCTGGTCTTCCACCTTCTCGTCCGCCCAGACTCCTCCCTCATATACAACAACGGTGAGTCTCTGCCGCTGGGGTCTTTATCAAGCATCACTTTTACCATTTCCCTACAATGATAAACAAAGGATATCCATTCGAAACTTTAAAATACTAAAATCTCTCTGTTTCAGCTAAAACCAGATGTCATCTTTACTCACGATAATGCTCAACTGCTCTCATCTTCGTCAACGATTATAAAAAAACATAGATATATTTATTCATGATAACACAAGACCACTATTATCCTTGGACGAAATCATACTAACCCTATCATCTCTGTCCATAAAAATTAGACTAACAACATCTTTGTCCTGGACTAAACTAAACCACCATCATGTCCTTCCATAACAAAATCTAATGCACCATCATTTCTGTCCATGGTAAGACTAAAACAACATCATTTCTGTCCAAGCACAACTAAGTCACCGTCATCTTTAATGCAATATCATTCATTGATAACTGGGAACCCTTCTATTGAAGAAATGACATGTATGCCCGGGGTGGAGCATTTATCTAGGGCTGGGGTTATTGCCGTTGCCAAATCATTGGAATCTGTGGTTGGAGTGGTTTGTTTGGGTTCAGACTGTTAGTAGATAGTGGTATGGGAAATAATATGGAGAAAGGAAGCAATAAAAGTATGTGTTGATGTGGGAAAATGGCAAAATGAACAGGGAAAGAGAAGGGCCCCAAAATAGCAATACACTTAAGGTATATTACACGAACAGTAGAAGTCTAAGAAACAAAATAAACGATTTAAATGCTCATGTTTGCACAGAAACAATAGATACTATTGCATTTACCGAAACATGGCTGTATGCAGAAAACAGAGAACTATTAGCTGAATCTCAAATTAACGGATTAAAACTATTTCACACTGAAAGATATATTAGGCTAGAAGGGGGAATAGCCATATATTAAGGGAAAATTTGAAATGAAGTCTCAAACAAGGAATCAAAACGGCGCCACACACAGAAACTATTTGGCTAGAATTAAACGAAAAAGATAAAAATCTTATAATAGGAGTTATATACAGGCCACAAAACTTAAAATGGAAGCAAAATTTTAAATTTTGTTCAATTTTCAATTTTAGTGGAATAAACTAGCTTAACAGAACAATGAAGCAGAATGAGAATAATGAAGCAGACGATTTTCTAGAATTAATTGGCGATTGCTTCCTTAAGCAACACATTAAGGAATCAATGCAGGAAAATAATATTTTAGACTTAGTGTTAACAAACAAGGAGACACAAGTTAATGACATCGAAATAGGGAGCGAGCTAGGGAAACAGTGATCGCAAACTAATCAGATTTAGCATAGAATGGAATAGATTTGAAGGAGAAACTTCGGTTAAAGTACTAGATTTCCGAAAAGCTGGTTTTAATGGTCTAATAATTTTTTGGGGGTGAAATTGGTTGGAAAGTCTTGGGCATGGGAGGATGGGTTGGTCTTAGAGCGAGACGTGAACCCAGCGATGGGTGACGTAAAAAGGGATTTTGATGTGGATTCAAAATATAACTTATTTAAAAATATTCTAAGCAAAGCAGCACAGGAACGTGCACATGAACAGGACCAAATACCTCATCACAGGTGAGTATTTGTATAGAGCATTTTGTACAAGAGACAGGGGGGAACAGGTTTAGGGTTTGCTATCCGGTAGACGGGATTGGATATATATATATATATATATATATATATATATATATATATATATATATATGGCTATATATATATATATATATATATATATATATATATATATATATATATATATATGGCTACTTCGCTTCCTTGTCTAATATTTCTATCCGTGTGAAATAGTTTAAATCTGTTTAAACTATTAGCTGATATTCAGCTAATAGTTCTCTGTTTTCAACATTAATCCATGTTTCGGTAAAAGAAACAATATATATTGTTTCTGTGCAAACAAGAGCATTTAAATCGTTTATTTTGTTTCATAGACTCCTACTGTTCGTGTAATATACCCCCCTTGGATTATTGTTATTTTGAGGACCTTCTCCTTCCCTGTTCATTTTGCCATTTTTTTCCCCGCACCAACTCATACTTTTATTGCCTCCATTCTCCATATCAATACCCATACCACTATCTACTAAGAGTTTAAACCCAAACAAACCCCTCCAACCACAGGTTCCAACTAGTTGGCTACAGCAACAATCCCATCCCGAACACTCATATCATTCATTCCATTGAAGTGTTCCCAGTTATCAATGAATGATGTTGCATTTATTTATAATATTTGTCCAGTCGGCAATTGACACAAAGTGCTATCTTCAACCATTCATTTCCAACTTCCTTTCATGAAGGAATGCCACATATGATCGGGATGCCTTCCTTGCACCTAAATTAATAAATGATTCACATCATGGTTTTAGAAATGGCCGTTCATGTTTAACAAATATGCTGTCATTTTATTCCAGAATAGTTGGGGCAGTTGATAGTGATGTTGTATACCTTGACTTTAGCAAAGCTTTGGATAAAGTGTTACATGAAAGACTGATTGAAAAGGTAGAGGCTCACGGTATTGGGGTTGCTACATACAATTTGAGTATTTTTTTCCATTTCCAGCCATAATATCAATCCTGTTGTTTACTATATCACCAACTCCTACTCCCAGATAGCAAACCCTTTACCAATTCCCTTTATCTGTGGCACAATAAGCTCTATCCAGATACCTCATCTGAGACTCTCCAACGATCTAAATTTGCTTAACTACTTTCCTTACTTTGTGAGCACCTTGAGGGTCCTGCGCTCAGTTCGTTGTCCTGCCTTTCGAGCGATCTGCAGTCTCCCTACAACATTCGTCTTCCAGCACTACGAATGGGTTGGAAGTGTCTACGACATCTGTATGCGGCTTTGTCAGAGTCTTCTTAAGACCCACTGTCCATTACGACTTTCCAAGACGTCGATTTTCTACTGCTGCTCTCCTCATTTGCTTCCTCTTGACGTTATTTCGTCTGTTTTACCTCCTGCATCTGTATTAGCTCCTCCCGCATGGAATCCTACTCCGCCCTCAGAGCTTCACATAGCTCCATCACTAGCACCAGTTCACTCACTACACCTTCCATTTTCAGTATCAAGGAAATTGGAGCTCCAGCTAACACCCCCTCTCACTGTGATTGACAGCATCTCACTGTGACTGCCTCATAGTCATAGAGTGAGAATGTAAAGAGGAGCTTTGCGAGCCGTTGTCTATAATAATTAATAAATCATTAGTCAGGCAGAGTGACAGAGTCGTGGAATGTTGCTATTGTGGTACCAATTTTCAAGAAAGGAGATAGATCACTAGCATCAAACTATCGGCCACTGAGCTTAACGTCTACTGTGGGAAAGTTGCTTGAATCGATAATTGCAAATACCATTCGTCTTCATCTTGAAAAACATAGATTAATGATTGATTCAGGACATGGTTTTACAGATGGCCGTTCATGTTTAACAAATTTGCTATAATTTTATTCCAGCATAGTTGAGGCAATTGAGAGTTGTAAGGTTTGTGATGTTGTGTACCTTGACTTTAGCAAAGCTTTTGATACAGTGCCACATGAAAGACTGATTAAAAAAATAAAGGCTCACGGTATTGAGGGTGCTATATTATGTTGGATTAGGGCATGGCTACCGCAAAGGAAACAATGAGTTAGCATAAATGGAGTTAAATTAGAGAGGGAAAATGTTGTAAGAGGAGTGCCTCAAGGATCTGTCCTGGGACCTCTGTTATTTATAATATATATATAAATATTTTAGATTCAGGTTTGAGCAGCAATATTTGCCAATTTGCCGATGATAAAAAAAATCGGGATGGAAATAAACAGGGAAAAAGACTCACTGTCACTTCAAGACGATCTGAATAGGGTTTTGAAATGGTCAAAAGATTGGCACATGCAGCTTATTGCTGACAAAATTAAGGTTTTGAGGCTAGGTAATGATGATAGAGTTTCAATATATGAGCTAGATTGTGTTGAGATTTTGAAGTCGGACTGCAAAAAGGATTTGGGAGTTATGATTAGTAAGAATTTAAAACCAAAAAATCAATCCATAAATGTTCATAATAATGCAAATAGGACACTGGGATATATTTACTGAAGCGTTAGTGATAATACAACTGGTGTTGTTCTTCAGCTATATCTTGCTCTTGTTAAGCCTCATTTAGATTATGCAGTTCAGTTTTGGTTGCAATACTATTGAATACATATATAAATTAACTAGAACGCATCAAGCGTAGGATGACATAGCTATTCCCGCAAATCAGAAACCTGTCATATGAAGAAAGATTGGCAAAGCTTAAATTACATTTGTCAGAAAACCCAACACCATTTACTAATATTAAATACAATATGTAGATAATATTGCTGCTGTGTTGTATATATATAAATTCACCATAGAAGATGCGGCGCAGTGGAATTTTCCGTCAATAGAAACGAGATATCATTGCCACATAGGACTATTAACTCACCAGCTATTCTGTTGGGAATTATTCTTAATACAACAGTTTTTGGACTTTTAACATCATAAAAACATCTTACTTGAATTAACTTAATTATCACAACCAAAATAGAGTAAATGTGACCTTTCTACAACTTGCTGACATCTGGACAAGAGAGCCAGAGCATCAGTAGTGGAGGGAGGTCAGCCATTGTTACACCAAAGTTGTTGGAGCTAGTTTAGCTCCTATAATCCTCCCTTGGACGAAGTGTTATGGAGATCAAATTAGTGCTTCTTCCATCATCAACATGCAGTCAACATCTAAACAAGGGAAGTGTATTACCGAAACCCATTTTTTTATCTGGTCATTTTCTGGCCAGTTAATGTTAGGTAGATATAGGGTGAACCGGTTAGCACGAGAGACAACGATTCAACACAGGTAATTACTCCTCGGTCCTTATCTTATATAATATACAGTATTTTCTCTGATATAGCTGTCATATATAAGATTCCTGCTTCACAGCAAGTGTCTTTTTAATTTAACAGGTATAGAAGAGAAAGCAAGAATTAATCTTGGTACATC